TGATGCTTTCTTTTTGGGTATCGTGTGCGCCCCTGTTCGCTGCGCCTTTTGGTTTAGGGTGTGGTGATGCAGGGCTCCCTCAATTTCCCCGCGTAAACTCCACCCCACGGGCATCAGCCACGATTAAACCAACAAATGATGATTAAACTGGCATTGAAACACAATGCAGGCGCCATTATGACAGGTGAACATACTCCCCTGCAATTTAACGATAAAAGCAAGAAACCTTGGAAGCACCTTGCGGTAGGTGTGATCGCTGCCGCTTCTCCAACTGCCACGAATTTAACAAGCCATCCAAGCACCCCCTTGCAAATCAACAGTAGGAACGGTGGCCCATGTCCGAAGGGGATTCCTCTAAAAAAAGGGGGCAGGGGGGTTGGGGGTTGGGGGCATTCTATGTAAATCGAGAGGCGAGCACTAAACAAAAATTGGGCCCCTGACCTTGCAAAACATGCTGCTGACTTGGGGCAGCATAATGCCGACTGCGACAGTTTAATTGCTGGCGCCGTGATTCTAGTTTACAAATGGCACGCGGGGAGGAGGCCGAACCAACCCACTCTCTCCCGCTCTCGCTCTGGATATGGGTGTGTCTTTCTTAGTAAAATTGTAGTTGTCCCTTTTGGAAAAACCACCTAAAGGGGGGGGGGGGGTACCCTCAAAACACACCCCCATGTGGTGATTCATGGCTCGGCGAAGCCGCGTGGCTTCGCCACGCACCATTCAAGTTTCAGACCTAGGGACTTCCGATGGATGAACAAAATGCAACGGACGGATTCATGTTCGAAGCCTGAGAAGGGGGTAGCCTAGAGGAAACTGCATACAAGGCACGCAAACTAAGCCTGACACAGGTGGGAGACCAGCAAATCCAGCTCAACTTCGAGCTCCAATGGCCTATACAATTGGAATAACCAACAAGTAAGGGCTTCCCATGATCAAACTCCCAAACACCAGTTGTTCTGGGAAAACGCCTGGGAACCCCAAAATGTGTGCCGCACCATTTATATATTTCTTGACACCGTCCCCTGAAATAGTTGGTTTCCTGTCGGCTTCCCATCCTTGAGGCTTCAACCAAATTGCTTACGGGCCAACAGCCAATCTCATCGAATCCCCCCCAACCCCAAAAAAAACATGAGATCACGGGGAACAAGTCAGCAACACAATACAAGTCTTAGTTCAAATTACACACCATATGAATCCGATTAAGCGCATTCACTCTACTAAATTTATACATGCATATATCATCTGAGTCGCAACTTCTGAAAAGTAAGATAAGTCATTGTCACATGAGGAAACTTCTAGCTTACAACACTTAAACCATGGTACATACCACAAGTATCAGCATGTCCAGACAACTATTAGCATACGAAATTAATAATCATAGTACTAAGCAAATAGAAGCAACCATTCAAGATACATATGCATAACACACTAACAAATAACATAGTTTAATTCATATATTACATCTGTGCGGTTTGCCTTTTACTTGGACTTATTGATGTAACTTTATAGACTAGTCTAATCATGTTAAACATTCCTGGTTTGCACACTTGTTGTTTGTGTTTTGATAGGGTTAGCTTTTGGTAACTTGTAGTTCAATCATAACTGGAATAACACGTAATTTGTGAATACATGTCAAACTATAAAGCTGCATATTGAACATATTATCAGACAACGCAAAGGTGTACTTGTTCACCAGTTGCTCGAATTTATCTCACCTCTGAAATTGAGATACTATTTGAAAAAAGGGCACCTCCCTGTTGTGGATGCTTTTCAAAGCCCCGCCAACCCTTCCAAGGGTTCCACCAAAATGAAATATACCCATTTTGACCTTGGCGACAAGGACCTCAAAACAAACAAACAATGAAAATAGCCAGGATAGCATCGGCGAGCCACTCCTATCTTTTGGCAGAATTGGTCTGGTCATTGCCATCATCATGCCATCATCTAGTCATCCGACGAGCTTTCAGTACTCCACTCAATTCGCTTCGGACTGAAATAGCGAGTGTCATCCTGCTGTGTGTTCTCTGGACTGGTGAATGGAACCACGTTGATCCCGACGTTTGGCAAGTCAAGACAGCTCCAAAGATCAGAGCCCCTCAGTTCCACCCTCAACCCGGGCAAGTTTCGCAAGCTTCTTTCAAGCTCCGCGACACTTTGCCCCTCCGACACTGGGCAAAGGTAGCCCGCCGCAGAGTTGCTCTCGGTGAATCTTTGCCTTCCGTGGCGATCACCTCTTCCAAACCTGGACCTCCTCCAGCTATCTTCACTATTCCAGAGTTCCACCCGACCAACACCCGTGTAAGTTTCAGAGGCAGCAAAAAACGGCCCTGGACCTAAATTCCTGCCGTCTGCATCTTTCACGGCGACCCCATCATCAGTGTATCGAACTATTTGCCTTTTCAACGCCTTTGCCAAAGGAATTGGAACTTTCAAGAACGTTTCGGTAGCGCCGAATATCTGTAAGCGGCCCGTCCATAGAACCTCGATGCATAAATTGAATGAGGACAGGCCTGCTCTCTTCAGGTACTGCGCCACCAACAGGAGCCACACATTTGCCTCGTGAGACTCGCACAAGGCCTTCGTGACTGATGGTGTGGAGGAGCGCAAAGACAAGCTGAGGGATGTATGAGAGGAGTTGCGAAGAAGACACTTGAGGATTGCCCTCAGCTCGTATGCTTCCAAGTCTGCGGCATTGGAGAGGTCCAGGACGATGTCTTTGACATGCGCGACCCGAGCAAGAAAATCAATCAATGTGTCGACGCGTTCTGAATCAGGCTCGTCGGAATCGAAGCTACCCGTAAGCTCCACATGTATGACCACAATGCCTAGGCATGGCAAGCATGTCTTTGCATGACGCATGTGAAACGCCAAAGTAGACAAAATCCCACCTTCGGAGTCATAGCCGCGATTATCTGTGTCACTCACCCAGTGCAGCTGCAACTTCTGAATGGATCTGAAGGTACGAGGCGGCAAGTACATCTTCATATCCACATATTCCCAAGGTGTAATCCAATAAAGCTCCCGGTACCATGGAGACGCTTGCGTCCAACGATTGCCAGCCGTGGAAGCAGCTGCCAACTCGAATGCATCATAGAGATCCAGGAAAGGCAGCAAAATGCTGCGCACAACCATGCAGTCCATAGCGCCTGTGAGTGTGCGAGCCATTCGGGCAGCAATATGCCCAAGCCAAGCCAATGCCTTGATCCTGACGCGGCTCCATTCCAACTACCCTCCTGTCCACTAACATGGAACCCACCAGAGGGTCTAATTGAAAGGAACATTTGCCTTCCAGGAGCCCCCAGCTAGGTTCCACGGCAACGTGTCCAACTTTTATGCATAAGTGGACAAAGGGGGTTCACCTTAAAATGATCCAAACCGGAGCATGAAGCCATTGGAAAGAAAGCATACTGATACACTTGTTTTCAGGGACCCTGCCAAACCCACCCCCTCTGGAGGGTTGGGCCTTAGTTTCCCTGAGGGGGGTTGTGGGGGGTATGTAGGGTCTCTGATATTTGATGTGCTGTAACTTGCGGGAGCGTACCCGAACTTTCCAATGAGGCCTTTTTTGCGGGTAGGGGACGGGCTTTTACCGCCCCAAACTTGGCGCGGGCTTTTAGCGGACAAATCATGCCTTGTGCTTCCTGGGTGTCTTCCGCTGTGGATGGACAAAATCCATTTCGCACCACCACTACGAAACCCTGGAATGATTCCCTCTGTAAATACCAACAAATACTGGTTTCAAAGTGGTGCGGGATTTCGTCCAGTAAGGAAGAAAATAAGCTGAAACTTTGATTGAATTGAAAACTTCAAGACCCTCGGTCCCGGCACAAGGCGGCGCAAGGGACGCAAGGGCCTGCAGAAGCTAGGGAAGTGACCATGGATTTTTTGTCTGGCTTTGCAAGAAAAGACGGAATGCGGCAAGGCGCCCCATGCAAAACACGCATGAAAGACTTCTGTTATGGATCACTTACTCCCCTACAAATCGGCAACATACAACATACTCTTTGAAGGAACCTCTTTTGCGTATGTACATGCGCGGACTAGCGACCCAGCGAGCCCAAAACCCGGTGACTCTGGTTCTACTAAAACGGTTGAGGTGTATATGGCTACGGATGAAACCACCAGGGAACGGCATTTTTTAGGGTTTTAGTCCTTGGTTTACCAGGGCTCTGTTTTGGGTACCCATTCTTGATCCACAGGCATACAGGCCCTATCTCAACCCCTTCGAAACCAGGGATTAGAATCTAACCACCAACAAAAATGCCAATAGGGGGTTTTGGGCGCTGCTCAAATGCATTTGTCTTTTTCTGACAGAACCGCCAAAACGGAGGTTCTCCTTTTGGTCTCCTTTGAACATCACCTGAAAAAATACCCTCAAAAAGAGAGACCCAAATGTGATTGGGTCGGGGGACGTGTCCCATCTCTCATGGCCTGTTGACTTTGGTTCAACATATTTTCTTCTCCGGCTGATGAACTGTGTCAAGAACCAAGAACGAGAAAGACCCTTTCGCCCCACTGGGAGCCAATGTTTCAAGATCAGGTGCACTCGCTCTGGGGTTCCACGGCTATCTGCAAAAACCCTTGGCCTTGAGAAAAAAAAGGAGAAAAAACACGAGGTGCCAGTGATTCCATGTACCTAGGTGACCAAGGTGACCAAGGGGGCCATTGAAAACCAAATGGCAAAATGGCGAAGGGTTACCTGAGAAACTGGAGACTGGGATCCACTGACCGTTGTTGACAGTGCGCGTTTTTTGTTTTGCTTATCTGGCCCTTTGTTTCGCAATATTCCCGCAAGGCGAGGCTAACTCGTTGCCAAAGTCTGGAAGCACGCACCGCCGATCGCCCAGCAACTGTTGATGATTGAAACTGCTGCAACGCTTTTCCTGGGGAGTTGGAAAAGGCAAGTCATTACCCACCCCCTTTGGTTTCTTTCTTGACAAGGGCTAGAGGCCCTACTTTTGGCCTATCACCTCAAGATCTTTTCCTTTTTGCCAGGCGGCGAGGGGTAGTAGCAGCTCAGGTAGTTCGACAGAAAGCGTTCCTAAGGTCGACGGTCCGAAATGGTGCGTGTGTGGGTACCAATTGAATTGTCAGCCTTTTGTAAAAACTTTTTTACATGGTTGGACATCGGTATCATTTGGACTGAAGCGTTTCCAGGCAGACCAGGAGTTCCCGCTAATCTCAACTTCGGAGTGCTCCGGGGTACCCTGCTACTGGTCCCTTTTAATGCCAGATTGCTTCATTTTGGCCGGATTCCTTTGATAGGGTCCTCTCTCGAATTCATCCGACCTAAACATCAGCAATTTCAATTCGGAACCCTTTGGTGAACGTTAAGCAAACTCAAAAATATTTATGAAGCCACCGACCGTGATTGAGGGCATTGCAACCAAACAGCCCTGCAGCCCTGTGGTTTAACCCCCCCCCCACAAGGCTTCAAGGTCCCAAACGTCGCCGCAGCCAGAAAAGCAAGTCCAGCCTAATGATGACCAAAAAACCATTAGTACAAAAGTGACCCCAGTTTCTGAAATTGATATCCCCCAAGAAACACTCAAAATCATGCCATGGGGACATAACGCTCCTATGCCCATTGGAAAAGAAAGAAGCCACTATATGATGGGCATGCACAAGAGTAACCACGACCAAGGGATGCCGCAAGGACACCTACCAAAACCGTGGTTGTGTTTGCCCCAATCGGGCTACTTGTGGTCTACGTGGGGACAAGGCTCCCAAATGCTGTCCTGGGGGTCGCTTGCCAGCCGGACAACAAGTTGCATGTGCGACCCTGCCCGGTATGAAGAATTAAATCAACGACAACAAAATGGATCTTGCCACACAGGGTGAATGAGCGAATGCAAGTGGTAGATTGGTAAAACAACAGCAGCAAACTAAAAGGCGAGCCTCACTTTGCAGGAAGTGTCAGGTTGAAGGGCCCTCGGCACTGGAAAAACAGGGAGTGGACTAGCTCACGCCATGTTGATGATCTTCAGAACGACCACCATTGCCGAAACTCATCAGGGTGCGCGAAATGCACATCTAAGAATCTACCTTGGAGTAACATGGCTGAAAGTTGCATCCAACAGCTTTCCAGTCCAACGGTTTACGTTGGGTTGACTGTTGGACTACACCCACCAACCCTCCAAGAGTACTACAACACGTTCTAGGGGTTCTGATCCACAGGCTAACGGCCCCAGCCAAAGGTGATCATTCGACTCAAGTGATCTTTGAGTTTCATCGTTGGGGTGATACCCCCAAACCACCTCCAGGGAAAAGCGGGCTATCGTGTATACAGTGGCATGGCTGTATATCCCGTTCAACCCCGACCCAGTATCTTCGGCTTGGTTGGAATAAAAAGCCTGGCTATCCACCCGGTGGCTTCAGCTTCTTCCTTTTTTTGCGAGGCGCATAGATCTCGAAGAGCTCCTCGGCCTGGCGCCAATACTCGGTCTGGATGCCTTGCTTCTTCAGGTGCTGGAAGTACTTCTTCAGGTCCAAGATGGGGCCCCCCTGAAAGCCGAAGGCAACACGGGCGTGTGAAGGTGAGAACTTTAGAGGGCGGGGGAGGCGTGGGGCCTGCCATACGTCCCGAAATAGGCGAACCCCCAAGGAAAGGTGGTTTCCTTTTGGCTTCCCTTTCAACCACCCGAAAAACTCTCCAAAAAGACACACCCATATAGTCTTTAGGGAACCCACATGGGTACGCTAAGGTGACCCTTCAAAGCCGCACATAGAAGGCGCTCACCGTGAGCTGGGCTGCCTCACCAAATTGATCATCTTTTCTATTAAAAAAGGCAAGAAACGGCCTTTCCAAATAGTGGACTGTAAAAGAACCACCTTTCAAGGCTTCAAACATAATGTAGAGGAAGCCCGATCAAAATTTGATTAGTTGATCCTTGCTAAAAAAAATCAAGGTGGAATTTAAGAATGTCACACAACCCTTTAAACTCAAAATGAAGCTGCAAGAAAAGGCATTGTGTTCCGCACGTTTGTTGTTTTCCTTGGTCCGGTGCATTTCAGCGAGTGTCAGGTGGTTGAGGTGGGTTTACGATGGCTTAAGGTTGGTGTAGACTTGGTCTCGCTTGCTTGCTTGCTTGCCTTCCTGCCTGCCTGCCTCCTTGCTTGCTTCCTTTCCAGGGCACTGGGAAAAAGTCTCTTCAACGTGGGCGAAATGTGCGTCAACACCTGGACTCGGGCCCCATCCCATGCTGCAAGCAATGGAACATCCATAAATGAAACGAGGAAAGTGTCTACTATTTGAGCAACTGAAACAAACAGACTAAACAAACAAGCCAAACAAACCAAGCAAGCCATCCAAGCCAAACAAACGATCAAACAAACCACCGGGATCCACTGGGATAGGGGTTGAACAAGGACAGTCACCCCTTTCCGTCAACGAGTCGGCCGCAAAGCGTGGCGTCTCGCCTGGGAGCCGCCGACCTCGTGGCCGGTAACGAGCAAAGAGGGGGCCGCTGCAAAGGCGAGGGACAGGCCCTTGTCCTGCGGCCGGGAATGAGTTTGGGTTGATTTTTGGCTTGGCCTCAATGGTCTCGGGTGTGTTTTGGTCACCTAGGGTAGCCTCGACTTGGTTCCTCTGCAAAAAGTGTTTAACCTTGGCTGGTCACATCGGAAAAGAAAAAACACCTGGTGATTTCCCCCGAAAAGTTCAAGTCCCAGGTTTTCCAGCCCAAGAGCAATAAAAAGGGAAAGTCGAGGTCTCCGAACAATTCCCAGTCTCATAAACTTGCAGGTACCCCAAGAAGGGCAATCTCAGGTCTGTGGTGGTATCACGGCAGCCCTTCTGGTATCATGGCAGCGACCCCCCCACTTGGCCTGGTTCTTGTAGAGAGTAAATGGAAGGCCACCCCTGACCACCAAACCACCCGGCTCCAAACCACCCTTTTTGTGGGAAGCCGAAAACTGTCGACCCCCCGAATGCACTCCCCGTTCCATAAAAAGGGATTCCCCACAAGACACACCCGAATGAAGGTTCAACGCATTTGTTTGGGGGGTTGACTGAGATCCAAGCCTCATAAGCATGGAGGATGGCATCACATACACGGAAGTTCCCGCGACTCAGATGGTTCCTTAGACATTAAAACGTGACCGGAAATTCGGTCGCTTTGCCTGGGGAAACACTTGAAGGCTCCGATCCCTTTTCGAAGATTCCAGGGTGGGAATTGCCAGTTACTATGAGAAAAGGGTGCCCTGACGCTGCAAGATTCGACTCCAAAGGGTTCCACTGGTTTTGCTGCCACCTTTTGATTCCATGACTCAAGCGACTCTTTCCAACGAATGGCTCCACCTGCACGAGGAACATTGAATTACGGCCAAAAGGATACCTTGAAACTAACCTCCTGATTTACAAGGATTTGGATCCGCTGAAAGAGCTGCCAAAGGTGATGCTGTGCTCAGTAGTGTTTGAAGTGATTCCAGGTAGAGGGAACCAAGGTCAGTGGAACCTTGGCTTCTTTTGAGGGCATGACCGCCCTAAAACGGCACTCTCTGGTATACTTCCCGTCCGTGAGCGCGAAGCAGCGGGGGCCCATTGACCGGGGCGCCACCAGATTGTGCTTGGCGTTGTCGTTGATGGAGATGGTCTCAGAGGAAGTGGCTTGATCTCTTACTTGCGAGGTAAAGGGGGGTGACATTGTGTTTCAAGAACAAACACATTTGCTTGTTGGGTTAGTTTTCCAAGGGAGTCTGATTTCCTGGTGTTTCCACGGCATCCTGTTAAATGGGAATAGCAGCTCTAAATGGGTGGGTACGAACTTCTGCTGATCAAAAGCAACCGAGAAAAAACATGCTTAGATAAAAACAATCTTTTAGTTTGCCCGGTGGAATTGCGGGTTCCATGTCGAGAGCAGGTTTCTCTAAAGGATCACCGTTTCGTGGCCAAGGATCTGTTTTGCCCCAGTGGGGAACCCTTCAACCAGCTGAAGCAAAAGTTTGGCGGTGCCCTTTTCCCGCCAATCGAGGTCTGGGGTTGGTTTGAGGGACTCTGAAAGACTGCCCACATGGGTGGCCTAAACCGGCGTGTCCGGTTTTTTTGACAAGTTGTTCCTCTCTGTTGCCAAAGGGTGTGTTCACGTTTAGGAAGCATGCATCTTCTTGAGGGGTCGTAATCTTCTCGTTTCGGATTGGAAGCTGCCCGCTTCTGGGAAACGCAATGACCCATAAGGACTCCAGTTGATGAAGGGTGTTGCGTGCACTTTGAAATGGAGCGGGCTGCCATTTGGCAATGTTTGTTCTGCCGAGGATTAGACCTTGTGTAGCCTAAATGAAAAAGCCATTTGTTTCCAAAGGGTCGAAAGGGCGATTCGGTCGCACCCAAAACCAATGTGTTGGCGCTTCATACCCTTTCAATTGCCCGTGCCTGGTAGGTGAAGGGCGTCATGAATCGCCGGATGGGGTGATCTGCGGACATCTGCTCCTTGCTACGCCGCCGCCGCGCGGTTGGGTTCAGTTGAACGGTTCAGTTCAGCACCGAATCAACTACCAAACATGGAGGTGCATAGAACCCTTCAAAAAGGATGTTGTCTTCCAAAGGAAGCGTGCTCCTTGTGGATCAAACCATTAAAACAACTGGTTGGGCATGCGAGTCATAATCAAAACCTGTCACAGAATTGTTAACCCAGAACCATGTAAAGAATTGGAAAGGCGGCCGCACCTTGCTACCCTCCAAACTACCCTCCAAATTCCAAACTACCGGCTGGGATTGTCCCTTGCTACCCTCCAAACTACCCGGGTTTTGATTGTGACTCATGTTGGGTTCACATAGCCACAATTTACCGTTCAGGATTGTCATCTAAATTGGGTTGCCTTGGGCCATTTGCTTAATGAAAATCGGTTGAAGTCCCCCAACCCACCCGACTGGGCACGTGCCAAAGTCGGCTCGAGCCAGCCGCGACTCGGAGACGCGGAGTTCGACTCGGATTCCGACTCGGTCCCGCAGGGCGGTGACAAAGAGGTTGGCCGTTTGCAGGTGGATGCCGTACCTCGGCAACCGCTTCTCTGCCAGCCCTCGAAAATTGGAGTGGACACCCGCTTGGCAATGACTGAGGGTTCTCCATGGGCCCCAAGGCGACCATGGCGGAACGATCCTTCGCGAAACAGTTGAGACGGCTGAGGCCGCCCCAAGGGTGAAGCTGCCTCGCTTTGATGCTTCCTTATCCCAGGTTTTTTATCATGTTGGACCCTGGCGTGCTTTGAAGTGGAAGCGATTCTGATTTTGTTGGGGCTCCAAAAAAAACGTTTTCATGCCACACCCCGATCTCACAATCTGCCTTTTCCCGCCACCACACCCTGCTCATAAAGCTCCAAACGAGGCATGGCGAGGTGCAGATGGTCCACCAGCGTCACCAGGGCGAACAGGGAGGACCGGAACCGGAACTTGGCGCGGTCCCAGTCCGCGTCCCCCGGCCGCGTGATCCTCGGGGATTACCAAACATCTGGGAAAGACAAATCGACGTCCGTTTTGGGTATGTGTCAGATTTTGGGAGGCCAAATCCATCCTGGGAAATTCTGGCCAATTCTAGCCACAAAGCGAGGCTCCCGCCCAAAGGAACTTCACCTCTCACCTGGAGCGCGCGCTCGTTCGCTCCGCGCTCATGCGTGCATCCGGGTGGCTTGGGCGGGTGATCCTGCGCGAAGTCACGGTCCACTGGCGTGAGGCCGTGGTCGATAATCATCACCGGCCGCCACTTGTCCTTCGGATTCTGAAATGGACCGCCATTTCTCAGCTTCCCTCAAAAAGGGGGGGGGGGTTGTGGCCCGGTTTGGGTGTTCAAAAAGGGGTGGTTTTAAGACAATGTAATGATGTTTAGAAGGGGGTGAAATCCCACCCAAACCATTTCAGGGGGGATTTGGACTTGCCTCGTCTCCCGAAGTCCCTCCCAAGATCGCGGAACAAGTTGGTCTTAGCAGCTGCTTCTTACGTGGGGGTGTCGGTTTCACGGTCATTGCTAGGCTCGCCTTGGGCGCGTGGAAGAGCTAACCTTAGCCCCAATCTCAACCCACCCCTCTCCCCGTTCGTTTTGCCGAAGCTTCATCGAAGTAGGCATCCCCCCCATAGCGCTCGAAGCCGTCGCGCACCGGCAAACCCGCCAAGGCGTTGGTGCGCACCACGAAGTACTTCGTGTTCTCCCGCTCCTCCACCTCTTCAAGGCCCGCAATTGGCGCGTGGTTTGGGGGGGTCCTGGTGCTTGAAGGCAAAGGGAAACCACCAAGCCACCGTTTTAAGGTACCTGCATGAAAGAGTCCACACAGCTCCAGTCACCTTTACTCCCCCCCCCCAGGGGGTCTCAAAATTGGCACTTGGTCCACTCAAATGTTGGATTTTGGTCATGGAACAACTCCGCTTCTTTTCGTGGTTGCTCCGCCCCATTTGCTTCTACAAAGTGAAAGGGGTGAATCGCTCACGAAGACATGCCTTGGGTAGCAGTGGTCGCCGTCATGTTCATGGCTCAGTGGCAGTTGTTTGCCGATCCTTTGCCCAAGGTGGGACTTTTTAGCCCAAATCCCTCTAAAAAAATAAAATGAGCGGCAAGAAGAAGTTGAATTCTCTCAGATCAAGTTGGTTTGCTAAATGAGGTTCGGTCACACCCCATCAAGATCGATCGCAGTCGAAAACAATGCAACTCAAAACGTGGAACCCCAAGGTAAGCTCCGATTCCCAAGAGATTCCAATGGATCGTTTCTTTGATTCCATGGAGTTTAAGCTCTCAGTTGCCCAGCTTAGGCCCAGACAAAAAAGAAGAAGGTGATCATCTTTGGGGCCACTAAGAATAGATCAAAAAAAACAGGTGGATTGGACAAGTGGGAGTCCGTCCTGTCGGTGGAGAAAGACCCCCGTTTTGTGACGCAAGAAGGCCCGTGCGGAAGTTCAGGAGTAGGGAGCTCTTGCCCAAAAAGACAAGCGCGAGCCGCGAAAGTGACCCAACCGCATAGCTTCAGCTTTTACCATGCATCGGGTAGCACCTCCAGTTCGATGAAATATATTGGCGTCCCAAAATTTGGGGCCCCGCCAACTGTAAGTTGGTGCGCGGTGTTCCTCGGGTTGCTCTGGTGGTTGAACACCCATTTTGAGGGGACCCCTAGCGCCTTGTTTAAGACACGCTCTTGGGACTCAACCATCCACAAACCATTCCTTGAATCATGGGGACCAGTTGCAGGAAATTATAAAAGTAGCTGGTTTCTGAGATTGCATTTTCAACCGTTGCTGTGGTGTGTCCATTACGGCTGAATGGGGTCAGGGCAATTCCTACACGCTATGGGCACCAGAGAGTTCATCATGATAGCGATGTTGTAAGGAGCCATTCTATGTTTCAACCTGTCAAAGGAAGAAACTACAGGCTGTGGGTTTGCTGACAATGCTTGCATACATATGTATGCATATATATATATGGTCACCCCCCCCTGCATGACCTACCGTTGTCTTTCAAAAAGTCGTTGGGGACCATTAGCAGACAATAAAAAAGTGAAAAAAACACCTGTTTTTTATGGTTTTCGATTAAAAAACAACACAGTCAACCATTGAAAAATTAAGAAAAAACAGTGTGTTTTGATGGTTTTAGCAAAAACATGTGCAAAAACCATGGTTTTTTTAGAAAAACAGGAAAGCATTCAAAAAAAACAAGTGTAAAAACTGATATGTTTTTCAGATAGATCCCTAAGTTAAAAACTAAGAATTCCCTGGGTTTTTGATGGTTTTGCAGTAAAACCTTCAGAATTCCTTGGGTTTTTAGCATTTTTCACATAAAACCAAGAAAACCTCGAGAAAACCAAGAATCCAAGAATCCAAGATTTTCAGGTAGATGTTTGGTCCACTACAAAATCTTGGATTCTTGGTTTTCTCGAGGTTTTCTTGGTTTTCTTGGTTTTACTTAGGAATTCTTGGATTTCCAGCAAAAAACCAAGAATTACTAGGGTTCTTTTGGATTTCCAGCAAAAAACCCAAGAAAACCTCGAGAAAACCAAGAATCCAAGAATCCAAGATTTTCAGGTAGATGTTTGGTCCACTACAAAATCTTGGATTCTTGGTTTTCTCGAGGTTTTCTTGGTTTTCCTGGTTTTACTTGGGAATTCTTGGGTTTCCAGCAAAAAACCAAGAATTACTAGGTTTTTTTTGGATTTCCAGCAAAAAACCAAGATTTACTAGGGTTTGTTTGGATTTCCAGCAAAAAACCAAGAATTACTAGGGTTTTTTTGGATTTCCAGCAAAAAACCAAGATTTACTAGGGTTTTTTTGGTTTTCCAGCAAAAAACCAAGAATTCCCAAGTAAAACAAGGAAAACCAAGAAAACCTCGAGAAAACCAAGAATCCAAGATTTTGTCGTGGGCCAGACATCTACATGAAAATCTTGGATTCTTGGATTCTTGGTTTTCTCGAGGTTTTCTTGGCTTTCTTGATTTTACTTGGGAATTCTTGGATTTCCAGCAAAAAACCAAGAATTACTAGGGTGTTTTTGGATTTCCAGCAAAAAACCAAGATTTACTAGGTTTTTTTTCTCCAGCAAAAAACCAAGAATTCCCAAGTAAAACAAGGAAAACCAAGAAAACCTCGAGAAAACCAAGAATCCAAGATTTTGTCGTGGGCCAGACATCTAAAACAACAGAAATACCAGCACCAACTGAAGACGAAGAAGAACCACAAAAAGATAATTTTGAAAAATTAAAATCTTAATAATATCATATATAATGGGTATTGGTAAAAGTAAAAATAATGAAAATAATAGTTTGGAAGACATTAAGAATTTAAGTATAGATGAAAAAACACGAGCAGACACTTTAATTATTAAATCTCTTCAAGAATGTGTGACACGAATTGAGAAACTAGAGAAAGAAAAATCTGACAAATTAATATATAAACTTCCTGCCTTACAATTTTGCAATGCTTCGTTAATTTAAATTAATAATATTAACATATAATAATATTATTAATTGCTATCATAATCTGTCATTTTATCCTCTGGTATTGTTGTTGAAGTAGTACTACTTATATCATCTATTAAATCTTCATCAACAAAATTATTTTGAAATCTTAATAATTCCTCGTCTGGTGCCCTTCTTTTCAATACTATATAAAGTTTATGTATCCAAGAATTAGTATGAAAAATACAATTACCTCTACGATAAAATCCGCCACATCTACATAGTTTCATTGGCATATTACTATATTATATTAAATTAGAATATCTTTATTCATCATTCGTAATTTGAAATGCCTGTTCAAATCTGATATGAAACATTTTGTTAATGTCTTTAGCATTCATATTCACGTAGAAGAAACTATAAGGTGCGTCATTAACGGCTTGATGATACATATCTAATAATTGCTGTTTATCAACAATGGCGCTATTTTCTTCAATAAAACTCATTAACTCACTTGCATTTTTCAACCTAATGAACTGGCATTTAAACGAATGATAGGCACTAAAACATTATATTTTTGTGTTGAACAAATTACACTTACTGCATCGTGCCTGCCTCTTGTAAAAAGTCCGTGTAATAATTTACTATATCTAACAAATTTAGGATCGTCTGCGTGGTCATCTACAACGATTAATATTGAATGCGTGGTCATCTATAACGATTAATATTGAATGTAGTGTCTTATCTTTTTAGACTTCATATAATTAATTATTTTCTTCTGTCTTTCAATTACATTTTCTAAATCACTTGGATTATAATTATCAAAATAAATTTGTTCTTTTTCATCTTCCACGTGCAATTCATCCCTGATGTATTTTTTAACTTCTGTAAAAGTTGGGTCATTATGAACGCTGGGGGAAAATATAAATATTCTTGCAAATGAATTTCTATAAACATTGTTTGAATTCATATTCAGTTATGTTTATTGGTTTTATTATTGGGACATCTGTCATAGTTGATATTAAAGAAATATAGAAAATTATATTTAAAAATTAACTTGTCATTAATATTAAATGGAACATCATTATGTTATGAGTGGCGGTGAATAACATAATGGAACAGGTTTTCCATTGCTTCAATCAATAAGCATTGAAGATAATTAGTTTTGTGTTTTGCTCGCGTGTGCAATGAAAACCAAGTGCTGTGCCCCACCAATAGCGATGAAGGGAGGGGCAAATGATAGATGAGATCCTGTTTTTTTAGCTAAAAAGGTAGGTCATGCAGGGGGGGGTGAGCATATATATATATACACCTACACGGGTATGTCTGGTTTTGGAGGCAACCTTAACGTCTAGATGAACCTAAGCAATGGACGTGCTCATAGGACTCGAGAACCGGCACGGGTTGGACGACAACCGCCCTCTAAAACCTGAAGCAAAACAAAGACAACGCCCTGGTCCACATCTTTGATCCTAGAAAGGGCATCGTGAGCAACAACCAGTTGGCACATGGAACCCCAATTGTGGCCCACCCATTTCCCGGCTGAAACCCCCCAGATGTGTGACTGGACCTATTGGGTATATGCCAACTGGCCACTGGTTGCCACTCGCCCAAAGGAAGGCTTGGGCGGTTGCCACTGGGAAACTGTCAGCTGCCAACGGCGGCAGAGAAAAACATGTTGGAATCTGGAGCCGCCCCAGATGGTGGCTGTAAATGGCATAGCCTCGAAAGCGGGTGGACATGAATCCCCTAATGATACCCCTCCCAAGCAAGGAATTCCCGCACCACACAGACAAGCCACCCAAAGCAACTTTTCGTGCTGGTTCTCAGCAAGGGAATCACCCCTATGAAGAATCCGCTTATTGTTTCCTTCTCAAACAAACGTCTGATCAAATCATTGCCCCATATGCTGTCAAATCAGATATTATCAAGATGGAGGAAAAGGTGCCATCTGCTTTCACCCCACATGTGATTGAAATCTTAAAATGGGGAAACGTCTGCCATCTACTTTCACCCAACTGCGGGGGAGGGGGGGGGGGAAAACCGGGAGACTCAGGGGTCAGTGGATGTTCCGCTTGAAAAGTTGATCAACCTGTAGTTTCCATTGGACAAGACAGCCACTTGAGGTCCCAAGAAGGGGATTTACTCACTTCCTCATAGTCCAACCCAGCGACTTAACTGTGAGGGACTCGGACACAAGACCCACCCATCTGGGTGAATTATAGTATTTCACCAACCTGAAATAAGGTGGTTGGGGGGCTACTCCCCACATAAACCACCATTTAGGGTGAATTCGGTCGCGTAAGGTCGTTATAATTCACCCAGACCCATAAGAAGATCCAAGCCAGCCAGAACCCCCTCAATTTTCCTCCATTTGCTTCAGTCCCCTGAAAAAAACGGATTCCCTTTAAAACCAACAGGGGAAAATATACAAACAAATATTATTCTTAATCAGATGGATGTTTTCTTGTTTTCGACCAGGCCGAATCATTCCAATGGCCTCGACACGGTGGGCGCCAAGGCCCTGAAGGCAGAATCGGGTCAGCGCCTCCGATGTTTTGAGTGCGGCGCGCCGGTTGTGAGCTAATGGCAACCGGTTCAAACCATTACCTAAGGATTGTCATCCAAATTTTGTCAAGGACTGTTTTTCATGAAAAGGAAGTTTCCAATTGTCAGTCCTAGGTTGACAATTTGGATGAAAGTTACCAATTCATTGCTTTTTTCCATGAAAGTGGAACCCTAGGGTGATGGCAACATATGGCGACCGGTTGAGGCGCCGGCAAGCGTTTTTCATAAAGCAACCGGTTCTACTTTGTGTGGCCACGCCTCGACTTGACCACCATGCCTCGAACAAGTCCACACTGGACTGAGCATTTACCCTCGAACAAAGTGGGCATCCTTTGAATAAATAATGTTACTTTACCCAAAAAGGGATGGTACAAGGATGGTACAAAGAACCGGCTTATGAACACCATATCCTGAATCACCTGAGTCGATCTTTCGGGCAAAAGCAAAAAACAACACTAGCTCGGAGGAAACGGAGTGATCTGCCTTTCCGCCAATCTGCGGCACCAGTTCAATCACCTCCGGAACACCCTGGTTACCTCTGGCAAGAATCACACTTGCCGGGTGCGATCCGTTTCGGGGGCTGGACAAAGTCCAAAATCCACGAATCCGCTGTTGGCTTTCCCCTGGAAGCATGTTGATCGATCCAAAAAAGGTCGCCTTGAATGACAGGGAGTTGTTCTGGTCCACGCCAGGGTCGTTTCCAGGTGGATTTTGGATGATTTTGGGATAACTCGGTTGCTTTCTGCTCCCCTGCTAAACGTTTAACTCTTAGTGGTTTAACGGAAACCCATTAGCTGGGTTTCAAAAGTTAAAAGTCCGAACATCCAATCAAACATGCACCAAAGGAAAGCCCAAGGGGGTTTCCTTTGGCGCGTCTTCCCCACCTGGTCGCTGTGCTTGTCCGGCCAGCTTTGGTAGACTTGGGGGTACACCGCCGAAAGCCTCGGCACGGACGACCGTTCTTTGACACTTCACGTGCTGAGTTCAAAGGACCAAAAAAGAAGTTGACACATGGGCCCCGTTGGCAAGGCAACAGTCAACAGGTAGTTTGCCCGAATACACCAACCTGGGAGTTTCTCCTAGTTCACTAGCAGGTACAAGTTGAAAGAAGTGGAAGTCAGCCCACTTATAATATCAGCAAGGCACGAGTCAACAGGTACAAGCTTGCCAACCCGAATCAACCAACCTGGGTGATTTTCTTGTTTCCCTTGCCTTCGCGAACATTTGGGGGGGAAAAAAAGGCGGAGGGTGCACGTGAGAGTAACATGTCCAGGTCAAAGGCAGCACTGTCCAGCAAGCCATTTGCGCGGGCCCCAAACAGCAAACATCCAGACCTGGAATCCAGAGGGGAAGGGGGCGATGGGCTACATTGAGGAAACCAATAAGTCAAAAAGGTTAGGGAGTAACGCCAAGTTTGGGAAACAAAAGGAACAAGATCGAACGGCAGGTGTATGACTTGTTTTGGGAAAGAAATGCGTGCCTTTGGTCCTTCGGTAAGATCCTTCTTTTTCCGGATCAACCTCGACCAGCCAGAGGTTCACCTCGCCAAAGCTGCAACGGTTCAAGGGGCCGGGCTGAGGGAATGAGACCCAAGTGCTGGCTGAGCTTCCACTCGGGACCTGCACCAAAACCCTTCGGAACCCCCCAAGCGGCAATCTGAGTTTAGGCCCTGAACATGCCTTCACGTTCAGGGACCCAATAAAAGAACAAAAAAGATCGTATCACCCAGAAAAGTGATCCAAATTGCAAACAAAACGCCGGATCAAACTTAGCCAGGGGCAAATTTGTTTCCGGGGTGAAACTTAAGTTAACCTCCTCCCGTCCTATCCTCGGGGTCCCGACTGCTTCATTGCGAACTCCACCGGGTTATCGTCCGGCCCAAACTCGTCGAAGCGGTCGGTCATGACCCACCTGAACCGAATATATCCAATGAACATAGAACCTGACCGGGGGGTCCTGGTTTGGACCATGTTCCTTTCCTACCATGTCCTTTCAGAACTCCTGGCAGCTAGCTCCTTAGCTTCCTGTTTCAAAGCAAATTTCAATACCCCAGCTCTTGGCTCCCTTCCAACCATTAGCCAGTTTCACAAAGACCGGGTCCCTGTCAAGTTCCACGTTAATTGGTGCGAGGGTATTGGCCAAGAATGACCTCCGAGAGGGTTGGGAGGGGGCAGCTTCCTGTCTTTAAAGTGTCACTAAAGGCCACCATCAACCACATCTTTTTTGGGATGAGGGCGAGCACAGGTTCATGGTTGATCGGATTCCACCCACAACCACCCTACCACCCCTATTCCTACCCTGTCCCTCAACAAAAACAAATATGTCAAAATGAGAGAGCCCCCCCAATGCAAATACCTCAAATATAGCCAAATGGAAGGCCCTGGGGTGTCTTTGTGAGAGGGCAGTTTTAATGGGTGTCCACCCCAATGTAAATCAATCTCATAAAAAAACAAAAACATGCCACAAAAAGCCCAAAAAAATAGGGCTAGACAAACCAAAAAGAATTGGCCTGCCACATCTGGCGCCCAGATCGGCCTTGAAAGCCTCAAGTGGATTCCTTCCGATCCGAGGCGCCAGTGCAAGCGGTGCTCGATGAAGTTCGCGGCGATCTCGGGGCTGATGAACTCCTTCAAAAACTGGTCCTCCGGATGTGCATCGAACCCCCGCTTCCGGACAGGGAAGCGGAAACATATGGCCAGCATAGAAGCAGCACCCTAGGGAAACGCGGAAAAAAGAGAGGGATACTCGCAACCTTTCATGATGTTCAGCAGGCGAGCGGCAAAGGGATGTGGACACCACAACTCTCTGTTTGGACCTGCTTCGAGTTTTCCATGGTTTGCGTATTATGTGGCATCATCGAAAAGGTGGTTCACCCACGGAGGCAGTCTCTCCATTTGGGGTCATTTCCAAACACACTTCCTGGAGCCTCCATCGTAGCAAACATTTATGCCTCCCCTGGTTCGATACACAAATTGACACGGTGTAGTGTTTTTTCCCCTCCACTATTGCTTTCGAGCAATGTTTTTGGTTTCGAGCAGAAATCCAGTTTGGTAGTTTCATGTTCTTTCACACAGGCGAGTTTGGGAAGAGTCGTCAACGAAACGAGCTCACAAAAAGTGCAACAGCGCTCATCGGAGCAAACAAGTGCAAACAAGCGCAAACGGGCGGAAATCCAACAAAGCAAGTACAGGGAATGGGTTCCGACGGGCGCATGTTTTCTGACAACTCGAGCAATTGCTGTTGAATCGTACATTTATCTTAACACAGGTTGTCACGAGCAGAAGTATTGAGCACAAATTGATGTATCAATGGAGGCTGTAGGCTTTATCGATTCCAGAGGGTGCGTGTTTCCGAGGAATAGGGAGAAAACAACACTGGTCATTTCCGTTTGAATTACCTCGCAAACTTAATTGCCACCTGACATTGACAATCAACTTTTTTGGGCTCAGAACCTGGCCTAAGCTAAAAATATGGTGTCTCTTTGTAGTTGGTGCCCCCTTCCTTGGCTTGCTGCTTTGGGCCATTGGGGGAGTCCGGCTTCCCCCAACGAATTGACGGCCTGGCCTCGCTGCCTTTAGGCACCTGGATGTTCAGGGCGTAGTCCTGCGCGACTACGACCACATCACCAGTTGGGGACAGGGCGGTAACAGACCCACCAGTTTCAACACACCAAAAAGTGTTGCACAATATATATATATATATATACATATATACATACATACACATTACATTTGGAGGATTTAGTTACCTGCCATCCGGATAAATATCATGCGCCCATGGAGCCGCGTGGTTAAATAGGGCGTTCTGCAAGGAAGTAGACATTGCACATCCCCTTGCTGCTTCCTCTCTGGAACATCGGACAACTATGACTGCTATTGATCGCACCCAGTAATCATGCGATTCCATCTGCGGTTAAAAAGACAAGCCGCGCTCCTTCTGCTTCTCCTAACATCACCCCACCAAACGCAAACTCAAAAATGGCCAAACACGCAATGTTCAGACCAAAGGGACACAGGCAAAACCACATCTGAATCAGCTTGGATCTACCTCTTCAAGGCTAACAGGATTCAAAACCCAGGACATAGGCCCCAAAATCCCCCAAATCTGCTTGAGCCATGCGGAAGTCCATGTAGTACTTCTCGAGGACTGCCCGAGGCTTCATGTCCGCCACCGGCATGAAGTGCGTGTTGGCCTGGTACGAATCCCTCTGCTTGGGGGATCCGGATCCTATCTCTCTGTCTATTGCTCACTTCCCGAGTGGATGGGCCCGAGACAAAGTCCCCAAACTTCTTTACCAAAATCGTCCAAACCCAACTAGAGGAAGTCCACGAGTGTTTCTAAAAATAAGAGACCCTGTAAAAGGAATTTGCGTGCAAGGTGCTGTGGATCAAGAGCCAGGCCCGTCCAACTTGGACCAAGAGTGGCTGCTGACAAAAGTAAGGTAGTATGTCACAATGTCCTTCAGGCCTTAAGGGATATGTTTCTTGCTCAGGTGAGGGGCTATGGCACGCTTGATGCCCTTTCGGCTTCGCTCCAAAATAGTGAAAAAGGGGGTTGTCTACTTTGAGAAACACTCGCGGTCGATGGCACAAATGCAAACAGGGTTCACTTTACTTCACCCAGGAGTTCCTTCCACAAAAGGCAGCTGCCAAACGAGTTTCCACATCTGGCTTCAAGGGGGGATTGTACGGAAAACATGTCCTAAAACAAGGAACCATACATCCCTTCTCAGGGGGCTCATCCTGGCCTTGGGCAACGGGGCGCCCGCGTTCAGCCCGTAGTAGGACAAATAAATCATCTTCCTGCAGAAGGATTGCCAGGTGATCGCGAAAAAGGCAACTCAGAAATCCAGCATACGTCTCCAGCTGGGTACCAAGCAAGCTTTACCTTGCCGGCCATGATGCAACCAATCTGCTTGCCAGCACATGTTTTACCCAAAAACTTCAATAACTCTACCATGCCTGCCTGGAAAGTCCCTTTGTATGTGTGTCTGAATGTGTATTAAACAAAAACAAATATATATATATATATATATAACTGTATATATATATATATATGCTATCCCCCCCCCAAAGATCGACCATCTTCTGCGTTTTGAGAAAGATGCGGTACATTATTGCAAGAAACAGATGTGCATATGCTGGGGTCGACATTCAAGTGCAGTGTTGTTGAGGACGGTTGCAAAATTGCGCACCTGCCAGGGCTGCAATGCAAGGCTTTGCAAAACTGCAGCCCCTGGCAACCTGAAGTTTCAAAACTTCAAGAGTTTCCAAGACACTGCCCAAGCAAAGCTGCCAAACTACAGACCTGGCAAAGCAAGTCTGCTAAACTGCAGGCACTGCAGGCCTTGGTTGCAAAACAGACTTGGCAGGGCTGCAGCTCCAACACTGCAAGGCTTTGCAAAACTGCAACCCCTACCAACCTGCCAAAGCACTGCCCAAGCAAAGGTGCCAAACTACAGACCTGGCAAGGTTGCAAAATTGCCAACCTGCAGGTTTCCAACACTGCAGGGCCAGCTCCAACACTGCAAGACTTTCCAAGCAAGTCTGCTAAACTGCAGGGCCCTGGAAGGTTGCAAAATTGCCAACCTGCAAGGGCTCCAACACTGCAGGGTTGCAAAACTACAGCCCTTGCCAACCTTGCCAACCTGCCAAAGTTTCAACACTGCAGGCTTCCCACTTGCTGCAAGGTCTGCCAAACTACAAATAAGGCTGCAAATTCCAAACTGCAAGGCTCCAACACTGCAGGCACACCCAACTGCAAGGCTTTTCAAGCCTGCCAAGCAGTCTGCTAAACTGCAGAGCAAGGTTGCAAACTACAACCCCTTGCTAACTCAACACTGCAAGACTTCCCAAGCAAGGCTGCCAAACTACAGACCTGGAGGTTGCAAAATTGCCAATCCAATCTGCAACCAACTGCACCAACACTGAACTACAGACAAGCGAGTTCAAACAGAAGTTCCAACACAGGCCTGTTTGCAAAACAAACTTGGGAGCTTTGTCTGCCAAAGCTCCCACACTGCAAGGAAGGCTTGAAACTTGGTTGCTGGCCCAGCGCAACATTCCACAATTTCCAACAAGGCTAAGGCTGTAAAAAACTGCAACCTGCCAACCTGCCAAGTTTCAATACCCTGGCAAGGGTTCTTGCCACCTGCTACAAGACTTTATTAGCAAACTGGCACTTCCAGCACTCTGCCCAAGCAAGCTGCCAAACTGGGTTCCAGCTCAAAACTGCAACCCACTTGGCAAGAGTTGAACACTAAGGCCACTGCAAGACTTGAGCGCCTCACCTGCCAAAGTTTCAACACTGAAGGCTTCCCTGCTGCCCTGGCAAGGCTGCCAAACTACAGGCAAGCAAGGCATTTCCAACAAGAGTTCCAACACTGCAGGCCTTGGTTGCAATACAGACTTGGCAGGGCTGCAAAACTGCAGCTCTGTAAGCAAAAGCTCCAACACTGCAAGGAAGATGCTCAGGGGCGAAGGGCAAGAAACCCATGAAGCTACAAAAACCTCGAAGAAATCAAAAAAATCAAAAAAAATCAGGGTTCTGGGAGAGAATGCCCAGGTCAGAATCTGAAAAAAATGAAAAACCTTGAGAAAATCAAAAAAACAAAACAATCAAACAAATCAAGGCCTTGAGAGAGATAGTCACTGGGTCTGGGCATTCTGCTCCAGGACCTTGATTTTGTTGTTTTCTTTTTGTTTTTTTTTTGATTTCTTCGAGGTTTATTCACTTTCCGAGATTCTGAGGAAAAGTGAAAAACCTCGAGAAAATCAAAAAAATAAATCAAGGCCTTGAGAGAGATAGTCACTGGGTCTGGGCATTCTGTTCCAGGACCTTGATTTTTTTTGATTTTTTTGATTTCTTCGAGGTTTATTCACTTTCCGAGATTCTGAACTGGAAAAGTGAAAAACTTCGAGAAAATCAAAAAAATCAAAAAAAAACAAAAAATCAAGGCCTTGAGAGAGATAGTCACTGGGTCTGGGCATTCTGTTCCAGGACCTTGATCTTTTTTGATTTTTTGATTTTTGATTTCTTCGAGGTTTATTCACTTTCCGAGATTTTTTTGATTTCTTCGGGTGTTTTCAACATGTTCATCCTGTGCAGCCACAAGGCAGATGCAAGATGAAGTTAGGAAGCCAGAAGCCCGAGACCTTGCAGATTCTGGGATGTGTCACCAGAGATAAAACACAGAAAATGGTCGATCTTTGGGGGGGGGGGGTACCATATATATATATATATATATGTATACCTCAATCTTCCGATGAGCGTTATTTTCAGCTCGTGCAGATTACCGCGCGTTTATCTGAAAAGCGCTCGGTTCAAGAAAAAGCGCTCGGATCGGATATCGGAAAAGAAGAAACTGTTCAGCGTGTGGTCTTTCTGCGCTCGTGTGCCGGGAAATTGCGCTTTTGTAGCGGGAATGTGCGCTCGTTGTGCGGCCTGGCCCGTTTCGTCCAGGAAAGCTGCTGCTCGGTTCATGTTTTGACCGCATTGCACAACCTGTTCTCGAACGGAGCCTCAATTCCTTTGCGAAGCAGCCTTCCAGTTGGCTGAGTTAACGCTCGAAGACTAAATAGCGCTCGTTTGCCCAAAAAACGCTCGCAAGCACAAAAAGCGTATCAAAGAGCAGCTTGAGCAGAAAAGAACGCTCGTTGGAAGATACAGGTAAATGTGTATCTAGATGTATATCGCTCTGGGCGCGTGCGCGTGCGTGCGCACGTGCATGTCTGTGGTCTGCGAACCACGTGGCGACGGGCAACTGAGCTGGCCATGGAGCGCTTGGGGCTCTCCGCGATATATTTTCTGAATGCTGAGACTTTCTGCTGGGATCTCCTCAGATCCCTGGCTAAAATTGAACAACTTTCAGTGGGTTAAACTCGAAACTGGTGCTGAGCAGGATACAGGATACCCCCCAATTTTAAAAAAAATGCTCGAGAAATCAAAACCCTTCGTGAAAAGCTCGCAAAACCATTCGGGCCGAAGAGCTCGTAGAGATCTGATTGCCAATGTATAGGGCAGTACTTCCAGAACCAGGTCCAAGACCAGAAGCCAGCCCTGACGCGGCTCAATTCAGGCGAGGGATCCGTGCGGGGGGGCCGGGAGGGGTGGGGGAGGAGAGGTCCCTGGCTCGCGTCGTATCGCAATCCCTTCGAGACCCTCTCGCTTCCCTCAAGACCCTCTAACAAAAATCCGGGGTGAAAGGTGCCATGGGCGAGCAAGCTCCGCCCGACACACCCTGCGACATTTTTTCTGGCCGATGCTGTTCCTGTTTCAAACTTCTGGGGACCATCCCTTTACCGTAGCATATCTCTTTGCCACAGCAATTGCTGCAAATCAACCAAAGCAGTGCTCAATGGGTCTTCCCCAGAAGTCGAAACTCAGCTCGCCCAAGCCAGCATTTCCGCATCTAGCCCGTTCACAGCTTGGGAACCCAGATTTGTAGGGGAACAAATGGCTGCATCCCGGGGCGGAGCAGAGAGTTCCAACAAGTTGCAACTGGAATGGACCTGTGCAGCTCCCTCATATTTAAGCGGGTGAGCTGGGTGCAACCAGTAGAAACCAACATGTTCCTCATTTTTCTCAAGGGACATCAGTTTTGTTTTGCCCACCCCCCCAAGAAAAAAAGAAGAAAAAACAAAAGGGGATAGGCCGGTAATTGTTCAATGTTCCCGGACTGCGTGTTTGGCACCCGGGGAGACGTGCAGCTATCGACTTGGAAGCCATGCCTGTAGTATCGCACCCAAAGGTCCCCCAAACCCTCCCAGGCTTGTGCTAACTGCTAAAAGAAGGAGACCCTTAACATGATATGTTTCCAGTTGACGTTGGAAGGGGAGCAAACATTTGAATTTTAGCAGTTTAGTTGGGAATTCCCACTAAACCACAATAAGCAAAAATGTAAAATGTTTCCCAACAACAACCATGTGGTTTCCCTTGAAGCCAAGGATTCCCAGGCTCCAACACACAAAACCAACACGCAGACTGAGCCCGGCGCATGGGCAAGAAGCACAGGACCCCCGCCACCACGCTGAGGCTGGCAACCACTACCTCAGGTCCAAGAGCCGTGGATCCGAGCCTTTGGAGCGATGATTTAGAGTTGGTTGCCCATGTGGGGGTTATCCAATATTCTAGGTCCTCCAGAGGTTAGAATAAGGGTACCCGACTTTTTCCTCTAGT